ATTACTGCATCCCGGGTTGATTTTTTGTTTTCACGATCACAAAAGCTTGGCTCTCCAAGCGTCAGTCACCTGTACATTATATTTCGATGGAAATCGAATAAAAATTCGATCATATAAAATATTCGATTATGAGCATTCAAAGTGGAGCTAAGCTAAAGCAAAGTAAGAAAGTGAAGCTTTAGTTTAAAACTTTGATAAATAATGAGGTACGAGTAAAGTCTGAGAATTCAAATAGTCCAAAATTTGGGTTTAAAAATTCGATACTCGAGTCATTGAAAATCTAGGAATTAGTATTCGAAATATTCGAGTGACGAGAAGCCGTATTGATTGAGCGGGGATAACAGCAAGTTTCAGATATAATCAATCTGGATCTTTGGATCATTTTTTCCAATATTTATTCGAAATTAGACGCCAATGTTAATAGTCATACATGTGCGTTGAGATAAGGAAGCCATAGTCGTGTGATTTTTCGCGAGTGAGCTTTATGTAGTGCGACTGATGATTGAGAAGTTTGAAACACTCGTCCATTTCTGACTGTGTGGAGGTCACTATGCAACAATCGTCGATGCAGGGGCAGTACAATAGGACATGCGAGCTAGTACCGGTATTCGATGTTGTTCACGAAGCAAGCTGCAAGGCAAGCTGCAAGAACTGGTCAGTCGCTGACCCATACTTATTGTTCGTATCTGGGAATAGTAGGTCCCAGCTCGTATCTTCCGACATTAAAGTGAGTTTTGCAAGGAAGGTTTCTTTGCACGAAACTTTGATGTCGGAAGATACTTACAAAACAAGACCAATTAACAGTTGCGTTGGAGGACCCACTGTCAGAGTATCGTAGTTTTTGAAAAAGATAGTGAGGCAACTGATAGCGAAGGCACCAGCACATCTATCAAACTCACGTGGATTCATCGAACAATTGCAGAACGCCAAGCTTGATCCGAGCAATGTGATCGAGTCTTTGATGTGTTTTCGCTTTACACCAATGTACAGAATAATCAAGCAAGCAAGCATTGTCGGAGGTGTTAGTTATTAGGCTGTCCGGAAATTAATGCAGTTTTGAATTCCAACCGCAACAAGTTATACACTTCTCATTTCTAAGTGGGTTGCAATATATCATTCGATAGAGCAAAGCAAGCTCTACAAGATGGCTACCTTGATTTAGCAACAGCTCCAATCCAACACAGTTTCGAGCCAAAAACTAAAAAGATTCAACTGCCCGAATAATTGAAAAAAATCGTAACTTAGTTCATAAGAATCCTACAAAAATTCTAACTTGCTCACGTAAACACTATCCACATAAGGCGTGGATGTACGCATTTGCCGTATTTTTTTCTCGGTTAGAAACCAAGAAAACGAAGATTTTCATGTTTCTGCCAAAGTGATCCTGTGACGTTCCCACATAAGTAGTTGTATACTACAAACCTATAGAAGTACAAACGCAAATTTCCAGCTCTCTGCATGCTTTAGTTCTCGAGAAATATCAAATACAGTTTTCCTAGTCATGTGTTTCAAGCTAAAATTTAAATTTCTCGAGAACTAAAGCTTGTAGAAAGCTGGAAATCTAGGATTATACTTCTTCAGGTTTGTAGTATACAACTACTTATGTGGGAACGGCACAGGATCACTTTGGCAGAAACATGAAAATGTTCGTTTTCTTGGTCTCTAACCGAGAAAAAATACGGCAAGGGCGTACATATACGTCTTATGTGGATAGTGCTAACGTGAGCAAGTTAGAATTTTTGTAGGATTCTTATGAACTGAGTCATGATTTTTCTCGTTTCTTCGGGTAGTTGGATCTTTTTAGTTTTTGGCTCGAAACTCAGGTGGATCAGAGCTGTTGCTAAATCAAGACTGCCATCTTGTACAGCTTGCTTTGCTCTATCGAATGATATATTGCAACCTACTTAGAAATAAGAAGTGTATGACTTATTGCAGTTGGAATTCAAAACCTGCATTAATTTCCGGACAACCTAATAGATATGCCAGTACCATAATTATCTTCGGACTTAGAAAATATGCGGACCATAACCTTAATAAGCGAACGTTTAAAATATAACATCCTCAAGTGGTCTGGGCCTACTATTTTCAGACACGAGGAATAGCTATGGGTCAGCGATCTAAAATTATAAGGTTGATGCATAATTTATGCACCAAAATAGGTACATACCGCAATAATCCGGAATAAACCTATATCCCAAATAGCACTCAATATATATCATTAGATAGAGCAAACCTAGCTCTACAAGATAGTTTTTAAAGTTATGCAGCTGCTTTGATTCAAGCGAAGATCGAAGCCAAAGGAAAAAGATCCAAGCGCCCCCAAAAACCAAGAAAAAATTGGAAGTCCGTTCAAAAAAAATCTTCAGAATTCCTGACATGCTCATGCATTGTCATTTCGTATAAAACATTTCTCTATGCAGTTGTTGTATTTTTCTCTCACCTAAAAATTGAGAAAAGAAGTTTTTCATGTTTTTTTTCCAAAACAATGTTGAGATGTTCTAGCATTGTTGTATATTATAGGACCTTAACAGCGTGAGTGTGAATTTGCTCCTTACAGCAACTGGCTTACGAAAAATATCAAATTTTTAGCAACTAGGCAAGAAAAATTCGATAAGGAGATCTGGATTCGTCATTTCTCGTGAACTAGCAGTTCTAGAAGGCTGAAAATGTAAAGTTTCACTGCTAACGGCATGTACTATGCAACTGTTAGTGCATCTAAAACATCTCAGCACTAATTTGGCAAAAACATGGAAAACTTCGTTTTCTCATCGTCTAGCTGAGAAAAAAAACAGCAACCATAGATAGATTTCTCACGTGGAATGTCTACGGAGCAAGAAAGAGATTTTCTGGGAACTTATTAAACGAAGTTACAATTTTGTTTTGATTGATCTTAAAGTTTTCGAACGCATGATTTTTTTCAGTTTCCGGCTCAAAACTTCGCGTGAATCAAAGCAGGTGCAGATATTTGAGCACCATTTTGTAAAGCTAGGTTTGCTCTATCCAATGATATATCGAACCCTATTTGAAACATAGGATTAATTCTGATTTTTGCGGTTTGTACCCACTCTGGTGCAGGAATTAGCATCAACCTAATATAACACCTTCTTCAAGTGGTCTGGGACTTAGAATTGCCAGAACAAGGAATAGCTATTGGTCAGCGACTGAGACTGACCAGTTCTTGCAGTTCGCTTCGTGAGCAAAATCGAAATACCGGTACTAGCTCGCATGCCGCTATTGTACTGCCCCTGCATCGACGATTGTTGCATAGTGACCTCCACACAGTCCGAAATGGACGAGTGTTTCAAACTTCTCAGTTGTCGTACATAAAGCTCACTCGCGAAACACCAAACGAGAAATGGCTTCCTTATCTTCTTATCTTATCACACAGGTAACCATAAAATGGCATTGCAAGTTTTGAAAATATCGCAAGAAAAGCCTGTAAGAAGTTTTGAAACGGCGATGCAGATGTGTTCGGAAACGTGAACAACGCAAGTCGCGAAATTAGCTTCCGATATTGCTTGCAGCAACGGTTATCACTCCTTACCGCATACTTGACGATTTGGAGATGTTAACAGCGTGCAAAGCAATACTAAACTTCCACTTCGTCTTCCGTTTATTTCTGACAGTGTAAGCGGGCAATTCAAAAATGCATTCAAAAGCTACTGCAAGATGACGGCGTTTTATTTTTCGAACAAGGATATTAAAAGCAGTTAGTTCGAAACAGGCTCTACGATCAGTGTCGTACATAAGAGCAATGCATAATACAGGATGCGTCAAAAGTCTGGGAGCTAACTTTGCAGTACTGCAATTACAAAGATACTGATGGGTTTTATTTCATTTTGATGCTGATGCTGCGGTCATCCTCCAAAAGTACACTTTGCCTAGCTGGAAATGGCCTCCATATGTTTTTGTAAGATCGAAAATTACCCAGCTAGTACTTTTGCAAAGCGGAATATCAGATTTTTCAATAATTAAAATTTTTGCTACAGCTAAAGATGCTGTTGATATTTCGCAACATTTCGATGCACACAATATAAAACAAGCTTTGCGCTATTAAATCGTAGTGTTGCCTTTGCCAGGAGCTGTTCTCATGAAAGAAAAATAAAAGCTTGCGAATGTTACCTACGTGCCAGTGGCCATCTGTCTTCGGAACAAATTTGAAAGCTATGGAAGCGCAACAGGCATGAGGTCAAGGCTATATTTTTTGCATACGTCTTCTCATTAAGAATCAACTGGAATTCGGTCAAAGGAGCACTTTTTAAACTTTTCAAATAATAATTTTCCTCTTTCCTTCGCGCAATTGTAGCCAAATTTTCGGTATGCCACGTAAACATGTTTCTAATTAAAAATTCGATGTTATTACCTAAGCAACGCAAAAAAATTCTTTTGGAAGTATGTAGTAGGCAAAAGCTTGCTTTTTAATGCTGCAATTTGCCAACGTAAAAGAAGCAGTTATTGTGAAGACGTGGAGCGAATTTTCTACGACTACCTGCTTGCCATGACAGATGGACTTGACAAGATTTGTGCGCCGCGTGGAAACCAAAAGAGGCAATTTAAAAATTCAAGAACTGAGCTGTATCTGCAATGGTTCGATTTATACGTGCGCCAAATTTTTTTCTATGTACTTTCCTTCTCATTTTGCATAAAAAAGCACTGAGCTCCCAGAGTTTTACGCACCCTGTATGCTCACATTGATTGGTAGATTAGGAGGCTGCGCGAAAGTGAGGGGTGGCGTGCCAGCTTGACTGTAGCTTCAAAGCATTCGAATAAACTGAAAGATCACTTGGCATTCGCATGAATAAACATTTAGCACATAAAAGGCACCAAAGCTGGTCTTACCGCTAAGAAAACACAGAAGCGAGGTGCATAAAAGGGACAATTTCGCCATAAAATGTAAGATTTCTTTTTACAAAAGGGAACTTTGATTGGGAAAGCGATAAAAGCATTCTGGATATTTGCAAAGAATCCAGAAATTTAATTTAATTTAATTTAATTTATTTGCACCTGAAAGTGCGCTTATGGCATAAATTCAGAGCGGTTAGTAAAATGCAATGCCACAACAGGATTAGTGTCAACAATATCCAATAAAAAGCATCATACAACGTCCTCAACTCCCAACAACTGAAGGACATCAAGTTTCTTCAGAGCACTTTTCAGCTGATCAGCCGAGTTAACAGACAAAAATGGCGGCGGAAGCTTGTTAAGAATCGATGCAGCTCGATAAAAGAAGTTGTTACGTTGCAGCGTGATATTATGCCGCCCAAACCTAGAAATAGCCAGATTGAACGAGGCCCTGCGTTCACTAATAGGTCGAAAAACCCAGTATTTGCTGGGTTTCAAACCTACCTCAGCTCGCAGCACTTTGAAAGCCATAATAATATCCGCTACGAATCTTCTGTAGAAAAGGGTTTGAAGACCTAGTGTACGTATTCGCGTTTTATAGTCTGGTAGGGAGAGAGGATAGTTAGGATTAGGGAAAGCACGATAAAAAACGAACTTTGTAAAAATTTTTTGAATTCTCTCAATCTTCTCAATATCTTTCTTCAAAGTAGGATTCCACACATAGCTGCAATATTCAACCACTGGGAGGACAAAAGCCTTGTAGACTCTCAAGAGAAACTCGGGATTAGAAGACTGAGTAGTTCGCATCAGTGCATAAAGTATTCAGGTACCACGAGAGACAATTACTTCTATATGATCAGCGTATTTCAGTTTTGAGTCGATATATACGCCCAAATCTTTGATTATAAATTTGCACTCGAGGCCGAAATCCTCTCTAGGATGAGCAGGCGTTCTCCCAATGGGAACAGTGCAGCTCTTGGAGTAATTTACTTTGATATTCCATCTGCTAGCCCAAGCAAACATTTGGGAAATTGAGCTACGGAGTGCTATGGCAGCATTACTCTTATCATTCTGGTCGTAAGCGATATAAATTTTAACATCATCTGCGTACGCGGCAACTCTAATCCTTGGGTCTGATATGAGGGAGGACGGTAAATCAATAGTATATAAATTGAACAGGATTGGTGACAAGATACTCCCCTGTGGAACACCGGACTTGCAGACTCTCGCAGCCGAAAAAGTATCAAGGACTCGAACGGAAAATGTTCTATCATGAAGATAGGATTCGAACCATTTCAGATGTAGACCTCTAATCCCCAAGCTCTCCAACCTAGCCAAAAGAAGATTATGATCTACTGTGTCAAATGCTTTACTCAAATCGAAATAAACAGCATCAATACATCGATTCCTGCTCAGTGCCTCGGTCCAGTCAAACTGGCAATCGAGAAGCTGCGTACCTGTGGATCGACCTCGTAGAAAGCCATGCTGTTGCTCTGGGAGACACTTAATTCTCTCTAGCCACTGCATGAGATTCTTTGCAATAATCTTCTCAAGTATTTTGCAAGGCGTTGGAAGAATACTTATTGGTCTATAATCGGAGAGCTTAGGTTTATGAGATGTCTTTGGTAGGGGAGTGACAATGGCCGATTTCCACAGGTGGGGGACTTCCGCATTCATCAGCGAAACGTTGAAAATATGTGCCAGTGGGAGGGCCAACTCATTGGCAAACATTTTATAAAAGACTGCTGGAATATTATCGGAAGTAGCCGAAACTGCTGGGCTTACTTTTTTCAAGAGCTTTCGAATATCATGAGATTCAATGCTTGGTGAAGGACAAGACTCCGAAGATCTGTTCAGCAATAAGGGACATGAATCTGAAGGGTTGGAAAATATACCAGCGAAGTGGTCTGCTAGTGCTTCAGCTTTAGTGATGGGGGTGGTATAGATCTTTCCATCAATATCTTCTAGAGGACCAAAGAATTTATTTTCTTTCAAATGTTTCTTCAAGTAGACCCAAAGGTTTCGCTTGCGGACTTGTTTAGCCATTCTCTTTTCTTTTTGCTGCAAGTAGCGTCGTAAATGAAACGATAACTCCTTAGAAAGGTTCTTGTATTCTGAGCTGTTCAAAGGGTTTGAGAGACTCAAAAAGAGTCTCACTCTCTGAGCCCAAAGGTTTCGAATGTGCTTTGGATAACTCAGAAATGGGAGATTTTGCTTCTTAAACGGAACATAACGTGAGATCAGATCTTGAATAATATTGAGAAAGCGATCATAAAGCTCATCGACGCTAGAATATCCATCGAAAACATTAAACCAATCAATATTGGCTAGTGCAGCTTTTATGGAGTTTATATCCGCTCTAGAGTAGTCTCGCACTGATGAATGTCCATCGCTATCACTTCGACCAGGAACAGACAAGCTAATGCGGAAAGATACAATACTGTGATCTGCGTTACCCAAAGGTGGCTGAATCAGGACATCAGAAACATCCTCGGGCTTCGCAAAAATCAAATCTAGGATCGCCGTACCCCTGGTGGGAGTTTGGACAAGTTGAGAGAGCCCCAGACATTCAAAAAGTGAAACAAATCGGGAGGAGGAGGATGAGGTAGCCTTCACTTCAGACCAGTCAACATCACTGAGGTTGAAATCACCTAAGATAAGAATGTTCTTTGTAGATGTTGCCAAATTCTCCAAGACATCAATGAGTTGTTCATCGTAAGAGAATACTTGGCTTGGTGGTCGATATAGTAGCACGATTCGCATATGATTGCTAACACTGATAAACAGATCAAAAATCAGTAGATCAGTAAGTGAAGAGAAGCTCTGATCAATGCTGCGAAATGAAATATCGTATCGAATCAATACACACACTCCTCCTCCTTTTCTGTTTCTACGATCACTGCGTAAGATGCTGTACGGAAGGTCACCCAGGACTTCAGCATCGGTTATATTACCGTTAAGCCATGATTCGGTGACAAAAATAATTGCGGGTTTATGGAGATGAACAAAATGGTGAAATTCTACTAATTTGTTCGTCAAACTTCTGGCATTCAACAAAAAACAAGGTACCGCGGAAGTATCCAAGCAGGTCATCAGTTTTTTGCTAATGATGCCTTAATATGTGGAATGTCAGCGGCTCTGACCACTTGCCCTCTATATACGACAAAAACCCTGCCACCGCCGTGCTCCTTTGTATTCAACTCCCGCGCTTGCTGCCGGAGTGCCCGGTCGTGATCTCGCTCTTCGCGGGTCATGGACCTGCGGATGAATATTTGATCACAACCAGGCACTCCGCGCAGTTGTGGTGCTTTTTTTAATGCGCTAAAATAAAACTGCTGGGAGGAGAATACGCATTTGATCAACCGTGGCCTGCCACTAACAGGTCTCCCCATCCTATAGACCTCGATAGGTCTCGTTTCGATGTCAAGTTTGTCCAATATGGACATAACTGACTTTTCAGTATGTTCCTGTCTCTCTGATGCTAGAGCATCGTCAAGTTCAGGAACACCTGAAATAACTATCGAACGAGACCGCTTTTCTTGATCTATGAGGTCCTTCGTGGCAGGCCTGATCAACTGCAATAATCGATCGAGCAATGGCAAGGCCTCAGGCGCCTTACCAGCCAGAATTGAATGAAGCTGCTGTAAAAGCGTACCTTCATCCTCTTGAGAATTGCTTGTCGTAACAGCAGAAGGTGAAGTCGGCTCCACAGCAGTCGAAACGGTTTCATTTGACTTCTTCGACTTGGCATTTCGGCGTTGAGAGACCATCTTGGGCAGAGCAAAGTACGACACGACCGCTCGGTATGAGACACGTGAGACGAATGGAAAATGAATAACAAAAACGAGTGCCTGTTAGTTACTGCTGATTTCCTTCCTTTCATATCGTTATGCCAGCTATAGATTGCATTGGATGTGTATCTGTAGAATGACTCATTCGTGACGATGAGTCATTCACTCACTTCCGGTGCTGTCTCACGCACATCTGTGGTCTTCTGGTACGTCATCTTGGCTCTGCACAATTTCTGGTAGCGAAGCTGTGGGAAAGCCGAAAACCAGCTTGCTTGCAGGAAATGTTTGATGATATTGAGTCACGGGTGACACTTTGAACCATTTTCATGCCTTTGAGGAAGATGAAGGCGTCGAAACATTAGGCCGTGTGATTGGATATAAGACCACCTATCAAATTTGAGTGACACAGAAGTAGTTACGAACATGTTCAGGTTTTATGGAGACGAAACTTCGAAGTTGTTTTTAGACAATTAAAAAGCTGTTATTTAAACTGAAATACTGAGAATTGCTCAAACATATGCTTTCTTCTCAGATTTTTCTAAAAAGATTTTGAAACTAAAAGAATTATTGAATTCAAATGGATATGACAAGAGAGGTACTTTTCCGTTATCCGGACCCTTTTTTTCTAACGGCTCATATATAATACATTCTGTAGTCCAAGTACAAAATTTCATAAATTTTACGAGGACTGCCTCTCCGCCACGTGTCAGGAAAAAATTGATACGTTCTTGTCTACTTTGACATGTTTTTTCGAAATCATTTCCGGTGAGGTGAAAGAGCATTTGTAACCACTTAAAAGCTGTTCAGCTCATTTATATAAGATCAAAACAATCTAGAACCATTACTGAAATATCTTGATTGCTTGTAGCAATTCAAAAATGTATTTCTCCTCAAACTTTCCGCCATGCGAGTTCAATTAGGAAAGTCTACAAATGTTGACTTGAAGTAGTACCTCGCTGCTGCTTTTCGCCGCTTAGATGATAGAACCCTAGCGCACTGCTCTATTCTGGGCATGTCTAGTATGTTCGTTGATAATAGGGCGACGTTATTATTATAACAATGTCATTTTTGAAAATGTATAATCGAAAATAGGCTCATTGCTGACCAAAAAAGGTTGAACTTATGCCGCTAGGTAGAACAACACGAACTCTTGGTAAATCTTGTTAAACATGTAGATGGCATGTCAAATTTTTTTGACACGTAGCAGAAGGTTGACACTCTTTCCTGTGAAGTTGGGAACAAATATGGTGCAAGGGAATAAGCAGTATCCTTTTTTGAAAAAATGGGTCCGAATAACGGAAAAGTACCGACAGAGATATAAGGCCCTTCTGAAAATTTATTACTTTTTTCAAGTGTCAGGAAAACATGTGGAATAAAGGCAAGCAAACGTTTCATGCACCAACCGACGCAACCTTCCTCTTTTTAGCAGTAGTGCTTCTGTGCTGGTTAATCCTGTGGTTACTAACAAGGAGAGGATACTTAGTCGAAAGCACCAATCCAGATGAGGCATATATCATCGTGACGCGCTCGGAGCGCTGATTTCAAATCTGGCAAAATCAGCTGCGGAGCGCCTTTGGGCAACGAGTTATGGTTATTTCTGTGGAGAAAATTTGAAGACGAGGGAAGAAAAAAATTATACGCAAAAATCTCCAGTTGGGCTCGAATGGGGGAGTGATGTCTCTCAGATTACTCTGCGCAAAGAAAAATGTCTGTCTGCTATACCCACACTTGAAACGAGTCTATCTGCGAAATATACATGTTGTAACAGTTAATTTTATTCTCTTTACACATTCAATTTTTTGGCTCTTGAAACGGTCATAGCTCCTCACCCAGAGGCGTTCCGCAGATAGTGAGGACAGATTTGAAATCAGCGCTCCGAGCAGGCCACGATGATATATGTCTCATCTGGATTGGCGCTTTCGACTAAGTATCCTCTCCTTGTAAGATAGCTGCCAAAATTTCAAACTCAGTTTTCACCACGCCCGATTTTGGTGTTTTTCAGAGCCTTCCTTTTAGCTCTTCTTTCTCTTCTACTTTGAAAAAGCTTTACTAACAATCAGATAGCGCAAACAAAGTGCAACACAATGCTCTTTTTGACACCTATAGCTGCTCTCAAAATTTTTGATTATATTGGTGCTACAATCTCCACCTTTGGTCGTCTCAAAACTCACAAAACATCAAACGGTGCACAACTAAGGTGTCATTCGAAGCAGCTTTCTTTCCTCTTTTTTTAGGAAATTTTTTCTTCTTATTAATGGAGTCTTCGGTAGAAAAATTAACATAAGTATTGTAAAGTCAGAGTACAATCATAATCATCTTTGTACGATGCAAATTCCGAAGACTTATTAGTAATCAGAGCGTTTGAGTAGCATGGAAGTTTGTAACCAAGAGGGAATCTCAAAAAATACTGCGTTGCATTGCACTTGTTTTGAGCTATCTGGCTGCTGCACTCTGAAAAAGTTGGACATGGTAAAAACCATGGGTTGAGAATTCCGGCGATAATCTCAGTGACCACAAAAGAAACCAGAGCGAAACATAACTGCTGAAAAGAGGAAGAAAAGCTGCGTCGGATAGTGTTTGAAAATTTACCTACCTTTATTTCACGAGTTTTTATGATAGACCAAAAATAGGAAAGGACTTCGGAAAAAACTTTTAAAATGATCTAATGCAATCTCTTCAAGTATTTTCAAGTGTCTACATAAACACTTTGAACATGGGTATACTCTAATTTGAATATTACTAATGGAAGGTGTGGTTATAACAGTGACCGCCAAAAAGTTGCGTACAAACATCTCTTCTTTCTTTCTCGCTCATTTTCAAAAAGGATGAAAAAGGGATCAGATCGCGCGATATGATAGAGCTCTTCAAGACAACCCACATATAGTCGAGTAGACTTAGCGGCAAATATAGTGTGCTTGCACAGAAGGTGAAATGCGGTAAAATTTGCGCGTGAAGAAATAGCTTCGACTGCGACGCCGGCCAACTGCGCGCGCAAGATGCCGGCAGTACAGGCGTGGCTACTTGTTCACGCGCAAATTTCACCGCATTTCACCTTCTGTGCAAGCACACTTTATTTACCGCTAAGTCTTCTCGACTGTACTACGTTTTCTGGAAAAGATGTTTTCGAAAAAGTTGGATATCCGACCATTATCCAAAAGATCCGAGCAGCTAAGTTGATCAGTGATTTTCGACCAATTAGTCTTCTATCAGCGTCATTTAAAGTTATAAAGAGAATTATAAAAAATAGACTGTTGTCATGGCTTAACGAAATACATTTGATTTTAGCTCAGCACCACGGCTTCATTAACGGTGCCTCTACTACGACTAATCTTGTTGATAGTACTAAGATTGAATGCAAGCTTTGAATTACCAAAAGTAGATGTGCTTTTGATCTGTCTAAAGCATTTGACAGAGTTAGCCACGGTAATGCTACTCAAGTTGAAGGCAACGGGCTTAAACGGCTCTCTATTCGACTGGTCTGCCTCACTTCTGCACAGTCGCTTCATAGTCAAAGTTCGTAACGAATTCTCAAATGCGTATAATTGTAAAAGTGGTGTTCCACAAGGAGGATTGCTGTCGCTTCTATCTTTTCTAATATACACTCGAGCTACCTCACACACTTCAGACTTCTCCTAACATAAAAGTGCAAATTTATGCAAATGATGTTGAAATCGATGTTACATATAGTCTTGTCAAACGGAGGTTCAATCAGCACTACAACAGTTGCTTACTAAGTTGGCCACTTGGGCTGATCAATGGGATTTATTTCTCAATCTTACAAGGGAAGGACCCTTGGTTGAAGTGGGGTTTCCATACGTGATGCATATCATTATACTAGTCATGGGACACTAATACTGAATCCATGTTTGTTAGCTATTCACTGATCTTCCAGGAAAAGTTATGAGCTTGGTGTTCTTGGATGACCGCGACCCGCCATAAGTTTGAGGCACCAAATAACGTATAGGTGTGGACGGATGGTCGAGTGGATAGCTGCGGAGGCTATGGAGCAGGTGGGCAAAAGTTCGAGTTCCTTATGAAATTGCATTTCAATCAAGTTTTTTGATATGACTCTTGCATCGTACCCGTAACCACCTAGATTCAGAGCTAAGGAACACGAATTTGATATCAGTGCCCCAAGACAAGCGATATGCACCACGTGTGGTAACCCACTTCGACCGATACGACGACATGTAGAATATACTTCTGGATATTGGATTATAGTGAGTTAACAGTGCCATTTCTGCTTCGCAGAGGCTGCACTGGCTCTTTTTCTATGTGCAATACTCTGCTCCATAACAATGCATTGAAACATACCGCGCAACGCCCGCGTTTACGAATGAAACGTAAACAATTACTCATTTCGTAAGCTTTTTCGTTTGAGATCGGTATTTCGTGTGGATAAAACTTTGGAAGATAAAGAACATATGCACAGAATTAGAACATTACTGAATTTTTTCATGGCTTGGTAGTCGCCATAAGGATAATATTCTCTGCGAGCTACATCCCAGTGCAACAATCTTCTCAAATGTTCAGGTAAAAACTTGGCAAATTGACCATTCACGCAAATGATTCGCTTTGAAACCTTTTTCGTGGTGTAATAGACTTCGCTCAATTTTTTGGGCTAAAGACATGGCTTGCACATTTACTTGCCGAACAAAACCACGACTTTGAAATAAGTGGTGATACGGACCCAATATTGCGCGTCAGACGTTAAGCGGGTCAATTTGCGCTGCGATTTTTGAGGGATCTATACAATGGATGTGCTCGTGCTTTGGCATGGTGAGTCGGGATGGTGGTAGTGTGTGCTGTGGAAAATTGCGGCTTGAAACCTTGTCTGCGACTCGTTCTGTGAATTTCGTTACAGGGAGACAGATAGACAGACAGACACACAAAAACACGTAAACATTCTTAGCCCGTTATTATAAGTCATGATACTCGCTGGTTTATACTTTGCCGAGTACAAATGGGAAAAGAGCTTTTCTTCTATATCCCTTCGACCATAACATTCCTACTGTATTTGTTTACG